CGTGCTGTCAGCGCCTGGCGCCGGGGCCCCCAGACCTGCCTGACCGCAGCGGCCTCGCCAGGGCGCAGAGGCTGCGTGTGCGTCGCAGCTGCGCGCGTGAGCCCTGTCCTGTCCTGTCCGGTTTCCAGACGTCGTGCGCGTGCTGGTCGTGCGGGGATTTCAGGAGCGCCCAGAGCCATGGAGGGAAGGGGAGCCTGAGCGGGCGTCCCAGGTAGGGGGGCGAGGGGCGGGCGGCCCGGCCAGACCCCCGGAGCGCCACGGTGCCCGCGAGGATGGGCAGGGGCTCCGGGGGCACTCAGCCCTGCCTCTCCGCAGGTGGCCACTGACGTGCTCCAGAGAATGCTGTCCTGTGAGTGGCCTTGGGGGCCGCAGGGTGCAGGCAGGCCCGGTGTCTCCCACGCGTGGGCGTGGGGGCGGGTGGGGCCGTGTCCCCCCGGCAGGCTCTGGCTGGGGTTGTGTCGCTCCCGGCGTGGGGCTGTGCCTGGTCGGCCTTCGAGGCCCCAGGGCCCAGAGCCTGTGCACTGGCGAGAGGCTGGGCAGCTTTGTCCGCCTGAGCTGTCCTGTCCTGTCCCATTCCGTCTGCTCCAGGCGCCCTTGAAGCACTGGCCGCCGGCGTGCAGGAGTCTGCCCCCTCCTACAGGGCAGTGTGCGGCTGGTATGTTGGGGGACCTCCCACCCCACCCCGAGGGGCCCCCCGATGACTGGGGCCGGGCTCTGGGCACCCTCTTCCCCGCCAGCGTGCCCCAGGCTGCCCTTCGGAGCTTCCCTCCAGGGCTTTCAGGGGCACACGGCTGCTGCCCTCCTGCCGGCCAGCTCCCTAGTGACCCCACCCCGCAGGCTCAGCATCTTCAGCAAACACACCCACCTCAGCATCGACTGGACAGGGTGTCCAAAGAGGTTTTTCCGTCACACGCTGACGCAGGTCCTGACCCACAGGCCTGTGCTGCAAGGTGGGCCTCCGCCCCTCCCCCCCCCGTTCACGCCCGCGGGCATGAGGATCGCAAGTCAGAGGCCGCAGGGCACGTGGCGCGGGTCAACAGGCGCTGGCCAGCCCAGCGGGAGACCTGCCGTGGGTGGGCCGGGTGCCCAGCCCAGGTGCGGCACCGCCGCTTC